CCTGTTAAGTGAAGCAATATAGCAACAATGATCCATTGGCAAAACAAAGTTATAGAGAGTTCAAGCATTTAACTTGTAGAATAAATTTAGGAAAATTGGATTTTGATGGGGAAAAATTGATGTTGTGGACAAAAATAGGACGACCTAAAAAATCACCTGATATTTTGACAACGAGCCATCCCATTTCCTCCAGGTACAGCACAGACATGGTAAAAGTCTATTTCAAATTAAACTAGATGAAATTAAGGAGGCTATAGTTGACCCAAAAATAATTTAAAAAATGGTCAACATGGATCATGAAATATCTAATATCAGTAGAATCGATAAAAATAATCAAAAGTAATTGAAATTGAGAGACCTGGAAACTTTGATCAGAAAAAAATGCGTCCTCGAGTATTAAAATTTTTATTACTTCTACGTTTAAATTTTGATGCCCTGGGATTATGCGAGAATCGCTTGAATTGCGACGAAGTCTCTGATCTTGGTAGAAACTACACGTATGTTAAAATTTTGATGCCCTGGGATTACGCGAGACTCGATTGAATAGCGACGGAGTCTCTGATCCTGGTAGAAACTACACTACCGTGTGCGCGAGCGAACCCGAGAGAAAAGGAAGAAACGGGGTTGCTCTCAATTTCATTTCGTTGAAAATGAAACTAACCAGGCATAGATGCCAAAGTGATCGAGTTATGGTAGCCTTGTTGAGAAGTCGCATCAAAAGTGGGACGTTTGAAATAGTCGTTTGTTACAGTCCCACTAACCCTGATGACGAGAAAGATGAAATGCGGGTTGATTGCTTCTAAGATGATCTCTTCAGAGTAATGAAAGACGGCATCCCCAGCCGTAAAGTTGGATCTCATATTCTGATGTTCGATGATTTGAATGCGAGAATCAGTAAGGAGCAATTGGCCTAATTGAGAACACTAGCTGGTGCCTGGTCTGCCGATCAAGAACAAACTCAAACGGTGAGAATCTGCTGGAGTTTTGTTCGACAAACGATTAGAAAATCATGAAAACGTTATTCAAGAAATTTTTAAGTAGGCCTATAACGTGGCGTCACCCCAGAGGCTCAGGTGCAGTTATTGATTATATCGGAACACAGTCCGGAAAGATGATAGAGCCAACTAGGGAGGTAGTACCGGGCATCGCTCAGTTCATGCTAAACTTGTAGGTGTGATCTTACCTCCAAAACAACCAGGCAAAAAGGCCTCTGATGGTGAAAGCGTTCTCAGAAAGAGCACGAAAAGGAAGTCTCCTGGATTACGGTCCAAAATAATTACCTGTCTGAAATCGGCCCAAGGTCGCTCGTTCCTAACATCAGATAACCGCTTGTCCCACACTGACTCCATTGCGAGCTTCAATAGGACTCTTAAGGAGTTGGTGTGCAATGTCCATGCCAGGTTACTGGTTCCGGAAACTGAGGAAAAAGAGGGTACATTCTTTGAGCATTTAAATACTGAACAAGGTTTGGTAGTTAAAGAAAGGAGAGGTGTACACTGTTAAGTTCTGAACAACAGAACTGACGAATTGGTTGCAGCAAGAAAAAGGCTAAACTTGAAGTGCAACAAGTTGAGGAAGTTTGCCCAAAATGAGATGTTGGAGAGCGGCCTGCAAGGATTTCAAGACCAGCACGTCCTCGGACAAACGCAAGAAGCGTTTAAGGTGTTGACAGAGACTCTTAGGTGTGTTCGCCTGATTTGGTTGGAGAGAAGGAACAAAGGTGAAGTCAGTAATGTGAGGCTTCAAAAGCATTACGAGAATCTGTTTACGAAATGAAAGGTGAGTGAAAAGTTTGTTGAAAGGTTACTTCCAGGTGCGGATAGTGGACCTCGTAAAGGAGCAGAGGTACTACAAGCCTTGAAAGAAATCAACACGGGGAAGGTTCCCGGTGAGAGTCAGATCACCAGTGACCTTCTTAAGATGCTCGAGAAGAAAATTCTCAAGCCCCTCACAAGGGTTTTTACTGATATCTGACTTGATCCAGGGAAAACTCCGCAATTTTGGAGATACGCAGTAGTACTCAATCTGTTCGAGAAAGGAGCAGAGCAGAACCGAACACTTACTGGAGCATTTTCCTTTTTGACCAAAATGGCAAAGTGTTCGCAAAGGTGATTGCAAATAGGGTGAATAAGGAGCTGCCCAAGATCTCACTTTATCAATTTGGGTTCCGAAGCCACAAGTCAACGGGCAAAGCTATATTGGTAATTAGATGTTTGCTGCAAAGAAGGATTGAAAACCATCAACATCTTCATATGACTTTCATCGACCTGAAGAAGGCTTTTCATTCAATTGACCGGAGGGTGCTGTTTATCGCCCTAAGGGATTTTCGAATCCCAGGATATATCATCCGTTTGATTGAAGCGCTCTACGCCAAAGCCATCGGCAAGCGTGATAAGGATAACACCTTTGTAGTGAACCGGGGGTGAGGCAAGGGTGCGTTTTAGGCCCACTGTTGTTTATCATCCTTTTTGACTTTCTCCTATGTAAGACTAGTGGAGAGAAAAGAAACTTTGCGTACGGTGATGATCTAGCTTTGATCTCTGACAACCAGCAAATTGCTACCAAGTCGCTGAATGAGATAGCAAATTCTTTTGGATTGGCTCAATTAGAAATTTCTGTCGAGAAAACTAAAAGTTTTGTAGTTAACACCCTAGACAAAACTATAGTTCCTATCAATGTACTCAGTGAACAGGTAGAACAATTTAATCACTTTGAGTACCTCATTGAGACATTCCTAAAACCTGTCCTGCTATACGGCATAGAGACCCTTGTCATCAGATGCACAGATCTTGGTAGATTAGAAGCGGTTTTACACCGCGCTAAAAGAATGTGTCTCAGGCTAGAAACTAGAAATGAAATGAAACTAAAGGAATTGAATGAAAAAGTGAAAACAACGCCAGTCGCGGATAAGTTATGCAGGAGAAGGGTTCAACTGTATGCTTCCTTTAAAAACATCGGGGTCGATAGCTTGAATGATCTACTTGAAAGCGCTAAAAATTGGCAAAAAGATTGGATTCGGCAGCTTAGAGCTGATCTTGACAACCATGGGCTCAAGACAAATTGTGAACAGGATAACTGGCTGCACAATCCGACAACTAAACCTAAGTTCACAAACGGTGGGGATTTTAAAGCAAGTGCTGTCGGTAAAAGGTCGCAAACAGTTCAATGTGCTAATGAAAACTGTGGTAGAAAGTTTCATAGCAAAAATGAGATGTACAGGTATCTCAGAGATAGTCATTCAGAACCCTCGGTCCAGACCTCCGCCAGTGAAATTGAAACTGATAAAGGAATTTTAAGAACTGTAACTGATAAAGGAATTGAGAGAACTGTAACTATTAAAGGAGTTGAAAGAACAGTAGAGATCCCCCAGCAGCCCAGCAACGGGGGTCCAAAAAGGGTAAATTCGACTGCCCTCTGTCCGACTGTAACAAGACTTATGTCTATGTCAGCGGTTGGACAAAGCACATGCAAAAGTGAAACCCGCATGTGAAACTGATCAGCGCATCAGAACCGACCGACGTCTCAGAACCGCAACTGAGTCGACAATCGGTCGCATCAAACCGAGACACTAGCACAGGTGATGAGGTGCTAAAGTGACCGCTCTGCTCCTATCGGTGCACGGTTTGAAAGTCAAGGATCAATCACTGTTATGTGAAGCACCTATATTCGTGGGTCAAAGCAAGGCCAATGCCCAAGCCGCCAAGTCATGTTGGCGTTGTCCCGGTGCGTACAATCAATAGGCAAAATAGTGGAAAATGTAGCGGCATGACCACCACTACATTCGTATTTATAATTTATGGAAAAGTGTATGCCCGCATCTCAGTATAGTAAAAAAAAACACTCAACTACAATTGATTTTCATGATCAATCTCTTTAAACGTTAAAATTGTCTAACAACTTTGTTTTCAGCTGGTAATTTTATTCTGCCGCAATTTGACTGAAAAAGCTGCACAAGTGACAACAAAAACGAGCAAGGTTTCGTTGATTTTTTTACAATTATTTATCTCAGCAAGTTTATTTCAGTACTACAGTACAGCATCTTCGTTACTTGGTTTGGTCCAGGTTTGAGAGTATACTCGTTGGCATGTGTCCGGAAGAACCTGTTAACAATTCAAATTGATAAGACCATCCAGCAATATAAAAAAAATTAGCTGTTTACTGAAAAAATATATCAGAACTGACACCTGATTGGGTTTTTGTCTTAGTAGTTTTGCGGATTTCCAGGAGTTTTTTTCATCCAATCAGTTCAAACCAAATTGTTATGGCAAAACCAACAAGATGGTCGATGACCGGTGTATAAGTTCAACTCCTTTTGCCATTTACTTTCATTTTTCTTCAAAATATTTAACGCTCAGTTTGTTTTCATTTGAGCAAAATTTAGATGAAGGTCTTAATCTGAAAGCCAGGAAAGCAAAAAAAAATCAGACCGTTTGCTCTACTGTTGTTTAAAGAGTCAGCTAAGACGATTTTCATTTTATTATTTGACATTTAGTCGACACTACTCTAGTTTATGTCAATTTCTCAAAAACCTTCGATAAAATTAATTTCATTTTGTTAATGCAGAAAATCCTTTCGCTGAACCTAGACAAAACTATCATGAAAGTCTTGGCTGACTAATTAACTCAAAGATCGCAATCGCTGCAATAAAATGTGCGTTTTCCAGGCAGATGCCTTTCTTTTAACAAGCATAGTTTCGCAAGGATCAATATTTTGTTCTCTTTTGTTTTTGTTTTCCATTAATAACTTACAGCGTGTTGTGTTTTTTCGGAGGCTTACGGTTTTGCCAATGATTCCAAAATGTGCTTTTGATCGAAAAAAATTCTATTCGGAATAGTCTTTCTAAAGAGGTTAAAGTTGTTGAGTTTTGCAAATCAATAACAGTTTAACGCCAAACATCGTTACCTATACTACGCGACTCAGATAATGATTTTCCTTTGCATTTTCATGGGACTCCTCTAAAACATCAAAATAATGTGAAGAATCCTGGTCTATTCATTTTTTTGAAACAATGGGTAGCAACACCATAGCTCTATTTAAATTTCGAAAACTTGTAGCTAGTTTTTGTCGGCACGCCTGATACCGTCTTCTGTTTTACACATAGAAACTGAAGTTTTACCTAAGCCTGATTGTTTCATCATATTTTCATGCGCCAGAGTGCAGTACCTCGGCATAGATTGAAAAGAGAAAACTAGAATCGTTCCGCCAGTTCATTTTTGAAAAAAAAATTTAGCAGCACGAGAAAATAAAAAAAACACTGATTAATTTTTAAAATGTTCCTGTTATCATGTGTCATTAAATTGAAGAAATTGCTGATGCTATCTAATATCATACTTAGCCGATACGACGTCCCATTCTAAAAAGCATACAGCATCCCAGAAATTTTAAGTGACCACTTCAAGTTCAATTCGCCAAAAAAAAAGAGAACTGGACAGAACAAGTTTGTGCTATCGAGCTTGATTCAGAGCAAAAGGAAACAGGGAGGACGTCAAATTCTTGGATGAGACTGCTATAGAGAAGCATATTCCGACAAAAGTGTGGGCCGTGTTCAACAGAAGTTACAACCCATTGAATACGAGCACCCTCACTCTTTTGTGTTTGTTTGACACTTGTAGACTGAACTTTTGATCACTTTTGAAAAGCTCAAGTTGAATTTCGGGAGAGATTATTGATTTTGCGTGAATGATTATAAACGATAAATTTAGCATGCTTTCAAAGAATTATGCCAATATATATTTTAACTGTAAAAAACATGTTCATACGAGTTTTTCGGATATTTTCTGAAAACAAGCAATTTCACTCATCATAGATTTAATTTTTAACCATGATTCTCAAATAAAAGTAGAGAAAACGGAACAAACGGCACAGTTAATTTTATCGCTTGAAATTTACCTGACTGAACTTGTCAATGAAAGTGTCATTTTTATTACTGCTTATCTGTTGAAAAAAAACACAAGAACCTCTATTTCGTTCAAAACTTGTGTGCCTATCAATTTCGCAGGATTTAAATTGCCGTAAAAGTTATACAAACCTATAAGGCTGATGATTGCGATTCTAGAATAACATTGGGTGACATTATTTTTCTGGCAGCTTTTAATTGTGATACTGAATTTGAACACACGTTGAGATATTACCTGGATGTTTTCTGAAAGCCTGTTAACGAAAAAATTATTTTTATTGGTTGTTTTTGATAATTTTTTTCAAAGAAGCTCTAAATGATATCAATTATTATCTAAATTGTTGAAAGTTATTTCATCTGTGAAGTTTTTTTTTGTGTAAGTTCGAACTTGTTCAGATTGAAAAATTTAGGACGCAGTTTTTTATTGAGGAGCAGAAAATGCAGCGATTCAACCTGGCCCATAACTGACTCCGAAGCCAATTGCATTCAACAAAATAATACAAAATAGTGACAGAGAATACATAAGATTGTAATTTATTTTGGGCCTGGGACAAAAAAGCTAATTTTTATTTACTTTTTATTAGGCCCACAATATGCATGATTGATTTTCTTTTCACTTAATCTCCTCAAAATTAATCAGAATTGCAACAAAAAAATTCCAATGTTTTTGTAACAGGGCTGTGAACAAAAGGGTTTGTCCAAGAAAACTAGAAAAAACTCTAATATTGTGGTTTAGACTATCCAGCATTGTTAGCAAAATTTAATAGCACATTAATTGCAATAAAATTAATCATACTTTGTTAATGCAGAAAAATCATTCGGTGAATCTCGAAAAATATCAGTGTTTCGGCTCTTATTTTTTTGTTTTTCATGAACGATTTACCATATGCGGTATTTTTTTTTTAAGTTTACTGTTTCGCCAATGATTTATAACTGTGCTTCTAAACAAAAAAAAATTCTACTCCAAGTCTTCAGTCCAATCTAAAGAGCTTGGAGCTGTTGATTTTTGAAATCTTTAAAAGTTTAAGGCAAAATATGTGTGTACTACGCGACTCATTTAATCCTTTTTATTTTCATGAGGAACCTCTAGGGAAGCTTCAGAATTCACTTTAGCTGAATAGTTTCTTTTTGTTTTTTTTTCTTTTTCTTTGTTTTCATCTCGAAACCAGGTACTACAATAGTCGTTCGAAAGGGTGGAGATATAACATATTAAACACCTTTCAATTTTGATTCTAACAACATTGAAAAAATTTGTAGATAAATTTTCAGTGGTGGACAGAAAAGCCAGTTTTAAATTTCTGATTTTTGGCATAAATTCAAGTTAATTAGGTACTCCTGCAGGCTTAAAAAAATTATGACTAATTCAAGCCGTGAAAACTTTGTTTTACTCAAGTACCGTTAACTTTTGGTCAGCACTTTTTTTGGAATCAAAAACTTCAAAATTCGAAAAGCATCTGGAAAAAACTTGAAAGTTTCGAAAAAAAATTTAAAATTTTTTCTGCCATTTTTTTTCTAGTAATTTTTCTGTCAAAACTGCTTTGTAATTTGCCCATAGTTAAATTAATTCGGCCATAGTTAAATTGAACAGAATAAAGGTCATGTTCTCATCTTCTGCAAAGCAAAGTACACAACATATATTTGAACTAAGTGATCGAATGTTTTGAGCGTAGGAAATTTGGCGTCATCAATTAAAATCGAGATCGAGTCGGTCAAAATTGTTTTAACCTTTTGTCACTGCATGCCTGGTGGTTTAGAACAGTACATTTAAGCAAAAAATCATTTATCTGTAGTGTGTAATTTGAGCTCTCTAAGTTTAAAGTTTCTTTTTCAAGTAGAAAAGAAAACAAAAATTAGTTACTGCTCATCAGATTTATTGCAACTTCTGTAACTCAAATTCGTTTTCTAGCATTATAAAGAACAATTATATGATTCGCTGTCAGATATTTTCAAAATTATAAATATACTCAATTTTTTCATTTTTTTTCTCGTCATAAATATATTCATTCTCGTCAAGAATTAAGGGAATAATTTGCATATAATTTAAAAATATATACATAAATACTTTAATACTACGTTGAATACTTTACCTTTAAACAATACTATAAGGAAAATAGTGATGTCTTCTTCGACTAAGTCGGATCTGGACGAGAGGAGTGCCCGACTGCATAAGATGGCAACCAGGGCACACATCATTAACTCCTGGTCAGGGGCAGGGGCAGGGGCCGGGGCAGGGGGGTCAGAAGGCCACCAGAACAAGTCATTGGAGGAGGATGAGGGAGACCACCTCAAAAAAGAGTAAGCCTGCTTTTTGCCGTCATTTACTCAATTAATTTTCACTTGCTTTCGTTTTAAATTTTTTTTTTCTTATGAGCCATTCTCGTGAAAAAATCCATTTGATCATAATTAAGATTTTTGAACTGTCCCATATTTTTTTCCACCTTTTCTTTAAATCGGCTGCTGAAAAGAAAAACATTTTTCACACTTTTTTATAGTATATTTGAGGAAAATTGCATTATTTTTCTTTCAGTGCTTAGATACTTCTGTGTTTATTTGAATATCGTTTTTTGGAAAACTTCAAAACCGCAAAAAAACTAGGCCGGGTTCTCGAAAAGAAACAATCCCAAAATTTTTCATCAGGAATCTATCTACAATTTGGGCAGCCCTATTATATCACCTCTATTACGATAAAAATCCGTTCAAGTTTGTCACTTTTTGTTCATCAAAAAAATATATTCATTAAAAAATGTTCATTAAGTATTAGCAGTAAAGATTTCAAAAAAATTGTGCAAAAATAGTTGAGCTTTTTTTAAATAATTTAGCAAAACGCAACGTTACCAAGCAAAAACTAAGTGATTAGCACCAGGGGCGGATCTAGGATTTTCTCGAGGGGGGGCGGATTTTCAAAAAATTTTCCAAAATTTTGACGACCTTTTTTTTTTTTTTAGGTCGACCAAATCGATTTTTCGAGCTCTCCCAAAGCACTGTTTTGCCCCTATTTTTTGGGCACTTTTGGGCACTTTTTGGGCACTTTTGGGCCGTTTTTGGGCACTTTTTGAAAAACCGTTTTTGGGCACTTTTTGAAAAACTTTGCGTTTTTTTCGCGTTTTTTTTGGCGCGCGCACCCCCTCAAAGTTAGTATATATTGGCGCCGAAGGCGCCTTTAGAAAAATTTTAGGGTCGGTCGGCCAAAAACGGATTTCTGAAAAAGTATCAAAGGGGGGACCCTTTGGGTCGGGAGGGGGTCGAATCCCTGAGGGAGGGGCGTCCGCCCCCCCCCCCCCCTAAATCCGCCCCTGATTAGCACTGAAAAACTAATTAAAAAGCAAAAATTAAATAATTGAAAAGCCAAGAAAAACATTTGAAAAGTTTTCACTTCGCTATCAGTTCTAAAATCAAAAACTTAAACTTAAAGTCCCAAACAGTATAAATACGAGCTGAGAAGACAAGTATTAGAATTTTTGAAATCCTATTTGACAGAAGGAAATCAACTTGTGATGGTGAAAAAAAATAGTCCGAAACAGAATTGATTAACCGGGGAGATCGACGGGAGTCGGTTTCGGGACCAATTTTATTCATTTTGTATATTAGTGACTTCCCCAATGTATGTCGAAACAGTAAAGTCATAATGTTCGCTGACGATACAACCTAGCATCGCCAATTTTCCCCTAATTTAGAACACATGAATACAGAATTTGATGATGTGTCTAATTGGTTAAATGAAAATGAACTGACCTTAATAAACTGAGGTCAAAATATGTGAAATTCTGGCAAGCATCGAGTGATATCAATTTAGTACTAAGAGATCATAAAATTTAAAGACAGAAAAAAATAAAAATAATTGGGCATAACTTTGGATCAAAAACAAACTTACTCGACTCAAACTTTGCTCAGTTGAGGAGTTACATGTATATGAATTGAACTAATTGCTCAGTAAAGTGTTCAAAAAACACATACAGGTGACAGATTGAACAAAAGCATATCAAGTGCTGAAATCTATTTTACAAACAATGATGTTAGTCGAACTAGATAGTTGAAAACACAGAGAGTTTAAGTTAATCGAAGGGAGAAATTGCTCGTCAGCAGAATAGGAACACTATTCAACAAGCTCGTTTCTTGGGACAAGTAGTTTAGAAAAATTTTTTGTGTTTTGAATGAAAACAATTGAAAAACTACCTGCAAATATTCAGAGAACTGTATATACTGGATCACAACGAGTTTGGTAATCTTTTGCCAAGTATAAAATTTTTTGCCAAGTATAAAAATTTTTACATAAACAAATTTTATTTTCAAAAATAGATTGTGGGCGCATCAAAAAAATAGAAGGATTTTTGTGTTTTCTCTTACGTTTAATGATTAATTAATACATAAAGATAAATAAGTTTTGTACTAAACACTCTTAAGACACACTTAATTATACACACATAATTTTTTCATTTATTAGAATAAAGATAGTAAAACTATAAAAGTTAATAATTTCAGCTTGCTGGCATTCGATAATATAATGACAGCTTTGAATTTTTTTTTGTTTGAGGGCTGGAAAAATGAGAGTATTTTTAAATAGGACAATTTTCAAAACTAAATTCACCACTGTCGAAACTCGTTCTAGGGGCGGCGAACCATCTGATGCTACTCCCGCCAAAAACAATGTTGCCGAGTACTTCGACCCCGACACTCAGAAGCCCCGGGTGGAGTTAGAGGAGGCAATAGAGGCAGAAAAAGACAATTCAAGGTCTCCTTTTCAGTCCCGACCATTTTTGATTTTTACCATGATATCAGATTTACTCTTTTTTTTGAACTGCAAATCATCCCCATGCGAACAATTTTTTTGTGCTTTTTATTGCAATTGAGGTATAAATAAATTTAGACTATTGAATTATGTAACTTAACGACGAGAGGGGTTAGGGGGACTGAAAAAAAAGAGAAGTGTAGTAAGCTGCAGTCGGCTGTTGGGTCACTGGAGGTCGAGTTGGCGAAAAAAGAGGAAGAGAGGAAAAAGGCGGAGGAAGATTTGAAGGGAATGAAGGATAAATTTAGGTAAGAGAGCTCTGTAAAACACTTAGGACAGATCATCGGATTATAGATTTCAGAAAACAAAGGGAAATATATATGCGAGATTTTAAAAAGTCCATCTGGTTAGCTTTTAAAATCGGATTGGGGTCAGCGCCAGAGTTTCATATTTGATCAGCTGACATTCTGTGATGAAAAAAAATCAACATCTTCAAGTCTTCAAATTGTTGATAATCGGAAAATTATCGAATTTGTTGCACAATTTACAAAATCTTGAACAAATACCTTGGAATTCAAATTACGAGGCTGAACTGTGTGTCTTATGAATTTTGAGCGAATTTCGGAGCAATAATGCTCTCGTTGGCGTTTCGTTATCCTTTTGTTTTCTTTGATCGTTCTGATAAAAATTTAACCTATTTTAAATTTTATCTGTGGATTCCAGAGACTTACACAAACTAAACTGTGCGCATTTCCAGTGCACAGTTTGGGCTCGTGATTTCATATGGCTAGCAATAAAAATCAACAATTATGCACAAGGACAAGCTGAGTCCTAATTGATAAAAATGGGCTCCAACAATGACATGCATTTTTCGGAGAAGGGTTATTTTCCTCACCAAAAACTTCGTTTTCATAAAATGTGCTGCATTCAGGGGCGGATTTAGGGGAGGGGGCGGACGTTTTTGTCTCACGGATTTGAATCCCTGCCGACCCAAAGGGTCCCCCCTTTGGTACTTTTTGAGAAATCCATTTTTGGCCGACCGACCCTAAAATTTTATACCAATATATACCAACCTTCGGCGCCAATATATACCAACTTTGAGGGGGCCTTTTTTGACCTGTTTTTCAAAGTTTTGCCTGCGGCGCACTAAATTGGCTACAACCTTGTCTTTTTAGTGCTTTAGGAGAGCTCAAAAAATCTATTTGGTCGACCTAAAAAAAAGGTCGTCAAAATTTTTGAAAATTTTTTGAAAATCCGCCTCCTTCGAGAAAATCCTATATCCGCTCCTGCTACAAATGCAAAGAATTTATGGTTACAAAAATTGCTATAAGGAAAACCATTTTTTCCGCATTTACCTCTGCCCCTCGCCATTAATTTTAATTTTTGTTCATTCAGGGTGAAAGGTCGATCTATGCTGCAGAACGAGTTTTGCTGATTTCGGCTCAAAACACTCACGTGTCAACGAGTATGAAATAAATTAAGTATTCAAAATTAGTATGAATTAAACAATTTTTTTTTCATCTTAATTTCATTATTTTTGTAAAAAAAAAGCATAATTTGGTGTAATTATCCAAGTTTTTGAATTTTCAAAACATTTTTCTCGGATTTATCTTTTCTAACAAAAAAAATTTCTTCTCAGCCCAAAATTAATTTTATTTTAGGAAAACTTGAAAGTCGGATGTATTAAAAGTGTGTATCTTGATTAAGGTTTGTCTCTTTTTGGCTTCTTGTTTCGCCCACTGAAAGTAGAAGGGACTATATTTTACTGTTTTTTTTGTACTAATTACTTTTTTCTACGCAAAACAATGTACCCAAACAATCATTAGAATGCGTCGAAGGCTATATCATATTTAAAATCGTTCAACCATAGTTAATTTAGATTAAAAGTTTTCGCAAAAATCAAATAATGATCAGAAATTCTCGTACATTGAAAAAAAACCATTGTATTCAATTGTTGCATCACCGTTGTTTTTTAGATTTTGCCCACGAATGAACTAGATCAATATAAACCTTGATAGAGTGATTCATTTTGTGTGCTTAACAATTTCGCTCGTCCTTTTATGCTAAAGGCTGTTTCCAATCTTTTGTTCAATCCAAAAACCAATGATGCTTGAAACGAAACTGTTTTTATAAGGCTACTCAAATCATAAACAGATTAGAAAGCAAAAACAGAGAGAAAACTTAGCTTAATGTTGATTTTGCAGCTTGTAAATCAACGTTATATTTTTTTATTTACTTTTTTGCTTCGTAAATTTTCCATGTTTAGAAATTTTTCTCTTGAGTTTTCCATATTTGGATTGGTTTCCCGAAATTAAAACTACCCACCCGGGTTGACCTTCATAGACCAAAAATGCTAATCGTACCATTTCATACACCTAATCTATGGAAAAAAGCTAGTCCTACAAAATTTGTACATTTTTGCAAAATGAGTTTAATCGAATTTCAAAGGTATCTTATTGTTGTTTTGGTATTGAAATTGGTATCTCTTCATAAAAAAAGGAAAAAAATGTATTAAAAAAGGCTTATCATACAATTTCCATGAATAAAAAAATACTAATCATACACCTTTCATGCAATTTTCTGTACGTAGGGATTTGTATGGAAAGGGTATGACTAGAATTTTTCCATATATGGAAATTTTATGACTAGCATTTTTGTTCAACCCGGGCACACTATTTCAATTGGGTACTAATTTTCTATGACAGGATGATTTTGCTTTTTTATAGAAAAAACTCCCTTCTGACTGTTATAAATGAACTTATTCAAAAGGGACTTACTTAAATCTAATTTTTTTTTACAAACTATCAGCGGCACAAAAAGATGATTTTCAATCAAGTAAAATTGATTTAAGTAGAAAAAATGCTTAAAACTGGAACTGGAAAAAAAACAATTGGATTTAACTTGTTTTAGAATTAACTCAAATCATTTTTTTGGCTTCGGGTGCAATTTAGTTGAGATATTTTTTTTTTAAGTTTGAATGTGTTTTTTTTTTCTCGAAAAATGGGTTTTCCACGGAACCACAAATTTTTTATCAGAAGAAGTTAAGTAATATATCATATTGAAGCGTTTCCTTTTTTGTAACCGTTTTCTGATTTTTCGTCTAAACGCGTGATGGTTTTTGTTTGATATTTGTTAACTTGTTCACCATGCCTACTTTCATTGAATTCTGACATTGCTAAATTTAGAAATTGAAACTGAAAGATGGGGGAAAGTATTTTGTAAAGCTTATTGGCTCTTTTTCCTTCCCCCCCCACCTCACTCAAACATGAATTTTATGGTCTAACGAGTGGATTTATAAGGTTAATTATGAAGATCAAATACGTTTGTCTGGGCCTAATTAGTCTGCATGTCAATTTTCATGGCAATCAGACAAAGTGAACAGTAACTTCAAATATAAAAACTTGCAGGTGGGGGAAAAGGAAAAAGAGCCAGCTTATTTAACGTTGTCATAGTGCAATGAAATTTTGTAAAAGTTTTGCAATGAAATAGCGATCCACCTAACTTTTGTGAACAGATTTTTCTTTCATACCTAAAATTGTAACATCACCTATTCAGCCATAATAACACGTAAGAAAAATAAGAAAGTTGAAAATTTGAATTGCGGGTGGGGTGGAAGAGCCAGAAGGGGCTTTAATAAACAGAGAGATCCCGTAGCTTTTTGATCTTAGGCTTTTAAATCCTAGATTAAGCTCGCTCACTTTATTTTGTTAAAAAGGTGGGAAATGACTTCGTGATTTTTAAGAAGTCAGCTGGAATTTCTAACTTTGCTGTTCAATTTTTCTTTCAATACCGGCTCAAACAAACCGGCTTGTTTCGCTAAAAAACACTTCTTAGAAACTGTGTAAATCTGAAACTAAGCTTCACTTTTCCAGTGAAAAAGAGAAAGAGCTGGAATCACAGTCTGAAAACTTCGCGATAGAGCGCGAGGAAATGTCAAAAGAAAAGGAAAAAGCCGTGAAAGAACAACAAATCATTTTCGGAAACCAGCAGAAAAAGGAATACGAACAACGCAAACGACAACAAAGACTAAGTCTGACTGCTTATAACGAAGTCCCTTTGCTGGTCGGCGACCGACGTTGTCTGATAGCTCGGGAGATTTTTATGGCCGACAACTGTCCAAAAAACGACGTCTCACGAATGCTGAAAGGCGAGAAGGAATTTGAACTCGAAGATGGCTTCTTGCCAATTGGAAACCACGACGAGGCTGTTTTTGAGATCCTCTTGGATTTCCTCAAGTGTTCGAGGGAGTTTGAACTTCCATTCAGATCTTTTGAACTCGAAAAAGTCATGCGACTTGCGAAGGTTTGAGATCTTTTCCACTCTGTTTTAAAAATGATTAAAATTTCCAGCTTTTTTCACCTCATAAAATTTCCAAAAACAAATTTAAAAAATGTTCATTCCACGGCAATTTGCCTGTAAAAAAAGTTATGAAAATTTGTTCACTTTTTCACTCTGACACCTTTTGATGCAATTTTTGTGGCTCTTTTTCGTTTCCCGCCACCTGCAAACTTTTTAAAGTAATTTTTCTGTTCACTTTGTCGGATTGTTATAATGTCTGACAAACGGACTAATTAGGCCATGACAAACATATTTGGTCTTCATACTCAACCTTGTAAAACGACTTGTTACACCATGAAATTGATGCTTATGTGAGGTGATGGGGGGGGGGGGGAAGGAAAAAGAGCCAGTTTTGTTGTTAGATTAAAACAAAAAAAGTCAAAATAAATTGGTTTTTCATTAGGAGGCCTAACTGTGCACTGGATAGGCGCACAATTTTGCGTCTGTTTGTTCCTGGATTCCAAAAGCTAATCTTTAAACCTGTTCCAAAATGTAAGTGGATTCCTTGTACATATGAGTGTAACGTAATTTTCGTCGGCACATTATAACTAGTTGTTTTGGATTCCGTAACTGTAATTGGATTCCGCAAAATGTATGCGGAAACCGCAAACTTAAGCGGAATCCGCAAATGTAAGCAGATTCCGCAAATTGTAAGTGGGTTCCGAATTTTGTTCAATACTGAACTTGCATATGAATAATTAAGAACTAGAGTTCTTTTTCCAGTAATGCGGAACCTAAAAGACAGAACTTAACTATTGTCAGCGGAATCCACGAACAAGTCTTAAAATATTTTTTACCTAAATCGGTGGATGTCATCTTTTAGTACTTTGGAAACACAACACCGAATTATTTCAATATTTGGAGTCATTGAGTTGAATGTGTATGGAAATACAACACACAGCATGTCGCCAAATTAGGTTAGTATTTGGGATTGCGTCAATCCCACATACTGGTCAGTATTTGGGATTGATGGAATCCCAAAAACTGGAGTAATAAGGAATAAAATGGAATAAATTCATTATTTGAAGTCATTAGGTTGAGAGTGATTAGAAACCCAACGCATAACAAATGAAATCAAATCATGTAATTAAAAGATATAACTTTTAACGTTACTACATACATACATATATTTAAACACAATCCGCAAACAAAATGCGGATTCCACTTACACTTTGCGGATTCCGCTTACAGCTGCGGATTCCGCAACAGCTCAAGTTAACTATACAATTTTCTTATTGTTTGTTCGTGGACTCCACAAACTGTTTTGGATTCCGCAAATACGATTGCGATTCCGCAAATTTGTCTATTTTTGAAGCGATTTTGAGCGGAACAGTGTTTTAAGTATTTGCTTGTGGAATCCATAACAGCAAAGAAGATCGAAGAAAAGTAGCTATGATGTGGATTCCGCGACAAATCTGATTTTGACCTGTCGTGGAATCCGCATACAATGCACAGAATGCAAAGTTTGGCCTCGTAATGTCATAAATTGATTTTAAAAAAAAAATTAAAGGGGGACTCGAAAAGAGCCGATGTCGCTTTTGGTCATTCTTGTAGAAGGCTGTGAAGGGCGCCCCTCCCCTTAACAATGTTTGCCAATTTTTTCGAACTAGTGTACCGCTTTCGAACTATTTCATGGCAACTGTTTTGGCTGACCAACTCTAATTTTTTGGCTCTTTTCCAGTTCCCCCTCTTTCAAATTCAAATTTGAAAAGTCTATTTAACGTTGTCATAATATAATGAAATTTGGTGTGGTGAACAAATCGACAATTCTGAACAGATTTGTTCTTCATACATTACAGCGTAACATCACGCATTTAGCCATAATAACACGTAAAACAAACATAAAACTCGGTATTTTGAAATGGGGGGAACTGGAAAAGAGCCATTTTTTTAGGAAATTAGGCACCAATGTATACTAATAATGGTGGTGAGCGCGCTAAACAAGCATGACTCTGGACAAAAATTGGCTCTTTTTCCTTCCCCCCCCCCACCTGCTAATTTTTATATTTGAAATTACTGATCACTTTGTCCGATTGTCATGAAAGTTGACATGCTGACTTATTAGGCCATGACAAACATATTTGGTTACCATAGTCAACCTTGTAAAACGACTTGTTACACCATGAAATTGATGCTTATGTGAGGTGATGGGGGGGAAGGAAAAAGAGCCAGTTTTGTTGTTAGATTAAAACAAAAAAAGTCAAAATAAATTGGTTTTTCATTAGGAGGCCTAACTGTGCACTGGATAGGCGCACAATTTTGCGTCTGTTTGTTCCTGGATTCCAAAAGCTAATCTTTAAACCTGTTCCAAAATGTAAGTGGATTCCTTGTACATATGAGTGTAACGTAATTTTCGTCGGCACATTATAACTAGTTGTTTTGGATTCCGTAACTGTAATTGGATTCCGCAAAATGTATGCGGAAACCGCAAACTTAAGCGGAATCCGCAAATGTAAGCAGATTCCGCAAATTGTAAGTTGGGTTCCGAATTTTGTTCAATACTGAACTTGCAGATGAATAATTAAGAACTAGAGTTCTTTTTCCAGTAATGCGGAACCTAAAAGAAAGAACTTAACTATTGTCAGCGGAATCCACGAACAAGTCTTAAAATATTTTTTACCTAAATCGGTGGATGTCATCTTTTAGTACTTTGGAAACACAACACCGAATTATTTCAATATTTGGAGTCATTGAGTTGAATGTGTATGGAAATACAACACACAGCATGTCGCCAAATTAGGTTAGTATTTGGGATTGCGTCAATCCCACATACTGGTCAGTATTTGGGATTGATGGAATCCCAAAAACTGGAGTAATAAGGAATAAAATGGAATAAATTCATTATTTGAAGTCGTTAGGTTGAGAGTGATTAGAAACCCAACGCATAACAAATGAAATCAAATCATGTAATTAAAAGATATAACTTTTAACGTTACTACATACATACATATATTTAAACACAATCCGCAAACAAAATGCGGATTCCACTTACACTTTGCGGATTCCGCTTACAGCTGCGGATTCCGCAACAGCTCAAGTTAACTATACAATTTTCTTATTGTTTGTTCGTGGACTCCACAAACTGTTTTGGATTCCGCAAATACGATTGCGATTCCGCAAATTTGTCTATTTTTGAAGCAATTTTGAGCGGAACAGTGTTTTAAGTATTTGCTTGTGGAATCCATAACAGCAAAGAAGATCGAAGAAAAGTAGCTATGATGTGGATTCCGCGACAAATCTGATTTTGACCTGTCGTGGAATCCGCATACAATGCACAGAATGCAAAGTTTGGCCTCGTAATGTCATAAATTGATTTAAAAAAAAATTAAAGGGGGACTCGAAAAGAGCCGATGTCGCTTTTGGTCATTCTTGTAGAAGGCTGTGAAGGAAGCCCCTCCCCTTAACAATGTTTGCCAATTTTTTCGAACTAGTGTACCGCTTTCGAACTATTTCATGGCAACTTTTTTGGCTGACCAACTCTAATTTTTTGGCTCTTTTCCAGTTCCCCCTCTTTCAAATTCAATTTGAAAAGTCTATTTAACGTTGTCATAATATAATGAAATTTGGTGTGGTGAACAAATCGACAATTCTGAACAGATTTGTTCTTCATACATTACAGCGTAACATCACGCATTTAGCCATAATAACACGTAAAACAAACATAAAACTCGGTATTTTGAAAGGGGGGAACTGGAAAAGAGCCATTTTTTTAGGAAATTAGGCACCAATGTATACTAATGATGGTGGTGAGCGCGCTAAACAAGCATGACTCTGGACAAAAATTGGCTCTTTTTCCTTTCCCCCCCCCCCACCTGCTAATTTTTATATTTGAAATTACTGATCACTTTGTCCGATTGTCATGAAAATTGACATGCTGACTTATTAGGCCATGACAAACATATTTGGTCTCCATAGTCAACCTTGTAAAACGACTTGTTACACCATGAAATTGATGCTTATGTGAGGTGATGGGGGGAAGGAAAAAGAGCCAGTTTTGTTGTTAGATTAAAACAAAAAAGTCAAAATAAATTGGTTTTTCATTAGGAGGCCTAACTGTGCACTGGATAGGCGCACAATTTTGCGTCTGTTTGTTCCTAGATTCCAAAAGCTAATCTTTAAACCTGTTCCAAAATGTAAGTGGATTCCTTGTACATATGAGTGTAACGTAATTTTCGTCGGCACATTATAACTAGTTGTTTTGGATTCCGTAACTGTAATTGGATTCCGCAAAATGTATGCGGAAACCGCAAACTTAAGCGGAATCCGCAAATGTAAGCAGATTCCGCAAATTGTAAGTTGGGTTCCGAATTTTGTTCAATACTGAACTTGCATATGAATAATTAAGAACTAGAGTTCTTTTTCCAGTAATGCGGAACCTAAAAGAAAGAACTTAACTATTGTCAGCGGAATCCACGAACAAGTCTTAAAATATTTTTTAACTAAATCGGTGGATGTCATCTTTTAGTACTTTGGAAACACAACACCGAATTATTTCAATATTTGGAGTCATTGAGTTGAATGTGTATGGAAATACAACACACAGCATGTCGCCAAATTAGGTTAGTATTTGGGATTGCGTCAATCCCACATGCTGGTCAGTATTTGGGATTGATGGAATCCCAAAAACTGGAGTAATAAGGAATAAAATGGAATAAATTCATTATTTGAAGTCATTAGGTTGAGAGTGATTAGAAACACAACGCATAACAAATGAAATCAAATCATGTAATTAAAAGATATAACTTTTAACGTTACTACATACATACATATATTTAAACACAATCCGCAAACAAAATGCGGATTCCACTTACACTTTGCGGATTCCGCTTACAGCTGCGGATTCCGCAACAGCTCAAGTTAACTATACAATTTTCTTATTGTTTGTTCGTGGACTCCACAAACTGTTTTGGATTCCGCAAATACGATTGCGATTCCGCAAATTTGTCTATTTTTGAAGCGATTTTGAGCGGAACAGTGTTTTAAGTATTTGCTTGTGGAATCCATAACAGCAAAGAAGATTGAAGAAAAGTAGCTATGATGTGGATTCCGCGACAAATCTGATTTTGACCTGTCGTGGAATCCGCATACAATGCACAGAATGCAAAGTTTGGCCTCGTAATGTCATAAATTGATTTTAAAAAAAAATTAAAGGGGGACTCGAAAAGAGCCGATGTCGCTTTTGGTCATTCTTGTAGAAGGCTGTGAAGGGCGCCCCTCCCCTTAACAATGTTTGCCAATTTTTTCGAACTAGTGTACCGCTTTCGAACTATTTCATGGCAACTTTTTTGGCTGACCAACTCTAATTTTTTGGCTCTTTTCCAGTTCCCCCTCTTTCAAATTCAAATTTGAAAAGTCTATTTAACGTTGTCATAATATAATGAAATTTGGTGTGGTGAACAAATCGACAATTCTGAACAGATTTGTTCTTCATACATTACAGCGTAACATCACGCATTTAGCCATAATAACACGTAAAACAAACATAAAACTCGGTATTTTGAAATGGGGGGAACTGGAAAAGAGCCATTTTTTTAGGAAATTAGGCACCAATGTATACTAATAATGGTGGTGAGCGCGCTAAACAAGCATGACTCTGGACAAAAATTGGCTCTTTTTCCTTCCCCCCCCCCCCCCACCTGCTAATTTTTATATTTGAAATTACTGATCACTTTGTCCGATTGTCATGAAAGTTGACATGCTGACTTATTAGGCCATGACAAACATATTTGGTTACCATAGTCAACCTTGTAAAACGACTTGTTACACCATGAAATTGATGCTTATGTGAGGTGATGGGGGGAAGGAAAAAGAGCCAGTTTTGTTGTTAGATTAAAACAAAAAAAGTCAAAATAAATTGGTTTTTCATTAGGAGGCCTAACTGTGCACTGGATAGGCGCACAATTTTGCGTCTGTTTGTTCCTGGATTCCAAAAGCTAATCTTTAAACCTGTTCCAAAATGTAAGTGGATTCCTTGTACATATGAGTGTAACGTAATTTTCGTCGGCACATTATAACTAGTTGTTTTGGATTCCGTAACTGTAATTGGATTCCGCAAAATGTATGCGGAAACCGCAAACTTAAGCGGAATCCGCAAATGTAAGCAGATTCCGCAAATTGTAAGTTGGGTTCCGAATTTTGTTCAATACTGAACTTGCATATGAACAATTAAGAGCTAGAGTTCTTTTTCCAGTAATGCGGAACCTAAAAGAAAGAACTTAACTATTGTCAGCGGAATCCACGAACAAGTCTTAAAATATTTTTTACCTAAATCGGTGGATGTCATCTTTTAGTACTTTGGAAACACAACACCGAATTATTTCAATATTTGGAGTCATTGAGTTGAATGTGTATGGAAATACAACACACAGCATGTCGCCAAATTAGGTTAGTATTTGGGATTGCGTCAATCCCACATACTGGTCAGTATTTGGGATTGATGGAATCCCAAAAACTGGAGTAATAAGGAATAAAATGGAATAAATTCATTATTTGAAGTCATTAGGTTGAGAGTGATTAGAAACCCAACGCATAACAAATGAAATCAAATCATGTAATTAAAAGATATAACTTTTAACGTTACTACATACATACATATATTTAAACACAATCCGCAAACAAAATGCGGATTCCACTTACACTTTGCGGATTCCGCTTACAGCTGCGGATTCCGCAACAGCTCAAGTTAACTATACAATTTTCTTATTGTTTGTTCGTGGACTCCACAAACTGTTTTGGATTCCGCAAATACGATTGCGATTCCGCAAATTTGTCTATTTTGAAGCGATTTTGAGCGGAACAGTGTTTTAAGTATTTGCTTGTGGAATCCATAACAGCAAAGAAGATCGAAGAAAAGTAGCTATGATGTGGATTCCGCGACAAATCTGATTTTGACCTGTCGTGGAATCCGCATACAATGCACAGAATGCAAAGTTTGGCCTCGTAATGTCATAAATTGATTTTAAAAAAAAATTAAAGGGGGATTCGAAAAGAGCCGATGTCGCTTTTGGTCATTCTTGTAGAAGGCTGTGAAGGGCGCCCCTCCCCTTAACAATGTTTGCCAATTTTTTCGAACTAGTGTACCGCTTTCGAACTATTTCATGGCAACTTTTTTGGCTGACCAACTCTAATTTTTTGGCTCTTTTCCAGTTCCCCCCCTTTCAAATTCAAATTTGAAAAGTCTATTTAACGTTGTCATAATGCAATGGAATTTGGTGTGGTGAACAAATCGACAATTCTGAACAGATTTTTTCTTCATACATTACAGCGTAACATCACGCATTTAGCCATAATAACACGTAAAACAAACATAAAACTCGGTATTTTGAAAGGGGGGAACTGGAAAAGAGCCATTTTTTTAAAGGAAATTAGGCACCAATGTATACTAATGATGGTGGTGAGCGCGCTAAACAAGCATGACTCTGGACAAAAATTGGCTCTTTTTCTTTCCCCCCCCCCCCACCTGCTAATTTTTATATTTGAAACTACTAATCACTTTGTCCGATTGTCATGAAAATTGACATGCTGACTTATTAGGCCATGACAAACATATTTGGTCTTCATAATTAACCTCGTAAAACCACTCGTTAGACCCTTAAATTCATGTTTGAGTGAGGTGGGGGGGGGAAGGAAAAAGAGCCCAAAAATTTCCAGAAGTCGCTAAAACCGAGCGTTATTTTTCCCAAAAGATTCCTGCGGCGCTGAAAACCTTGTCAATTATAGTCACTGGCAAATCTCGAAAAACAAAATGGCTCACCTATGAAAAGGTTGACAAAAAAGTTATCCATAATACCCCTCTCCTTCCGCCGGACACAATTCGGAAAACACCCAATTTATGTCCCATTTTGGCACTTTGAAGGTTTTAACCAATTGGAAAATAATTTGACCAGGCGCTAAACGTGGACGACTTGATCATCAAGTGTCGTGAACAACGTGTGATCAACGATGCAGACTTGAACCCAGTGTATGTGTACTCGCGGGAAGAGATGCCTGAAAGTGTGATCAAGAACCACAAGGTCAACGTCTACTTGAAGATCAACTTCGAGGAGGGAGTCAAGTATACTAACATTTCAGTGGTGCACCACATCAACCTCTTCTTCAGATTAGGTTAGTTATATTGTTAATGCATAGCAATTCGGCCTTCCGGTTTTTCTCAAAATAGCTTATTGAAGCCCCCCTGATAAACGTAAAATCACAGTGCTATAATTTTTTGACACTTTTTCTTTTCCCCCACCTGCGAAAACTTTTTTGTTCACATTGTCCGGTTGTTGCACAAAACGGCATGTCTTGTAGAAAGCCGTTTGGTTTTCAAACATAACCTTGTAAAACCCTTCCTTGCACCAAAAAAGGCTCTTTTCCAGTTTCCCCCCTTTCAAAATACCGAGTTTTATGGTTGTTTTACGTTTTATTACGGCTAAATGCGTGATGTTACGCTGTAAAGAATGAAGAACAAATCTGTTCACAGTTGTGGATTTGTTCACCGCGCCAAATTTCATTGCATTATAACAACGTTAAATATACTTTTCAGTTTTGAATTTGAAAAGGGGGAAACTGGAAAAGAGCCTTCGTCTCCGTAACATTGTTTTGACGCAGGACTGCGCCAACTAATGTTCCACGCGAGACAATTCCACTGGTGGGAGGAGGGGGGGGGGTTAAAAAAGGAACTATGATCAATTATGATAGATTTTTTGTTCAAAACATTTGATTTAGAATCTAGGATGAAAAGTATTGATCATAATCAATTATATCAATTAAAATTGTATAAAAGAATAATGAATTATTAATTGATTTTACGCGATTATAGATGGTGTGCAAAAATGATTTATCCAGTTTCCCCCTTTCAAAATACCAAGTTTTATGGTTGTTTTACGTTTTATTACGGCTAAATGCGTGATGTTACGCTGTAAAGTATGAAGAACAAATCTGTTCACAGTTGTCGATTTGTTCTCCACGCCAAATTTCATTGCCATATGACAATGTTAAATAAGCTTTTCAAAATTTAATTTGAAGGGGGGGGGACTGGAAAAGAGCCCAAAAAATGAGGGATATATGAGGTGGGGGGTTTAAAGGAAAAAGAGCAAGTATTTTGTTTAGATACTAGGCTGGATGGAGCTCTTTAGTAATTGTAGCCCATCAATAGCAATTGTAGCCCATCATTTTGCAATTTTTGTTTTATGAGGGCTACTATTTGAGCACTTTCATACTTCCTTTTTTTAGTAGTCTTAATTGTCATTATGGCTGAATGCGTGCTGTTACGACGATGTAAATTATGATGGTCACATACGCGTTCACATTTTTTAATTTGTTCATTATCCAAAATTGCATTGATAACATGAAAAAGAAAAAAAATTCAAAACAGATATTTAATTGTGCGCGTAAAGCGGAAAAGAACCACTATTTGCTAGGGTTACCCGCATCCAAGTTTTGGCTTAAGTAATCGATTATAACGGATTATTATAATGATTTTTGACTTTTCTAATTGATTATAAATAACAAAATCAGTTGTTTAAAGGATTTATAATAGTTTATAGTTTAGTGATCGATTATTCAAGAAATTATAATCTTCTATAATCGAGTTTTTGCATGAACACTAATCAATTATACTTAATAATAGAAGTTCTATTATTAAGTATAATTGATTAGTGTTCATGCAAAAACTCTTAATTAAATTGTAACCGATTATATTCAAATATAATCTCCTATTTATCAAACATTTGGCTTTTTTTCTTTCCCCCCCAACTGCAAAATTTTATAAATGTAAAGTTTGTTCACATTATTCGATTGTTTCGAAAGTTGGCATACGGACTAATAAAGCCATGGCAAACATATTGGTTTTTCATAATTAACCTTGTAAAATCACTCGTTACACCGTAAAATTGATGCTCGTGTGAGGTGGGGGGAAAAGGAAAAAGAGCCAAAAATTTTGTCACTCCAAAAAAAATATATTTTATTTATATGGGTTATTATTTTTTTTTCAATGACAAAATATCCAAACGTAGGGTGTCTTGTCACATTTTGAATCATCCGAACACAAAGTTTGAACATAAAAAAAAAATTTATTAGAATTCTTTTTATGTTGATTGAAAGATTCCCGCGGTATGTGAAAAATGATTCTTCCAAATAAATTAAAGTAATGTGCTGATATTTTGGTGGCTAAAAAACCTTAAATGTGCATCATAAAGCAATCTAGATGCGCATTTGAAGACAAAATGGGTAAGCAAAAGGAACTATGATCAATTATAATGGATTTTTTGTTCAAAACATTTGATTTAGAAATTGGGATGAAAAGTATAGATCATAATCAATTATATCGATTAAAATTGTATAAAAGAATAATGAATTATTAATTGATTATAAGCGATTATAGATAGTGTGCAAAAATGAATTATTAGAAATAAACTATTATTGATTATAAGCAATTATAGGCAGTGTGCAAAAACAGAGATGATAATCGATTAGTAATTGATTAAAATCAACCTTACTCAATTTGAGTAATTCTCAACTTTTGTTTTTTTTCTCAAATTAGTCGAGTATTATCTCTTGAAACTGGATGCGGGCGGGCTCCTTCCCCTTTTGACTTCCTTCTGATATTCCTTAATGAAAGTCGTTTTTTACGTGGGGAGTGGTAAGCTGGAAAATGAGCCTTGTGGTGCTCTAGGGCAGATTATATTAAAGACTTGTCCATGATTCAAAATAGAAAAAGAAACATAAAATTTAGGAATTTCCTAGAAAAAAACTTTTTTTTTCGTTCCTTTATCGGTTAGCAATGGCTTTTTCACTATTCCCTAATTTTCCAAATTTCTATTTTATTATTGTTTGAGTGTTATTGTGGCTATATGCGTCATGTTAAAACGTAAAATTTGAAAAAGGAATCAGTTCACAATTATAGTTTGTTCACCATGCCAACATTCATGTAAAAAGAACAACGTTGAATTAATTTTTTCAAAGGTGGGGGTTACCGGAAACGAATCCATTGAACTTGAATGTAAAATGAATATAATGAGAATGGTTTCTGCCAGGTCGAGTTCTCCGTCGCCTCTTTGTTTTCGTCTACATGCCGAACACAGGCCCGACCGGTTTGCGCTGGGACTTCTACAACTACAAAGACCGAATACACCTACTCGAGTTCACGAGTGAAGTTGAAGACGAAAAAGAAAGCAAGTACGTCAGAAGTAGTTTAGCTGATGTGAGAGACGAAGAAACAAGAAAACAGCTCCAAGAGGTGCAGATCCGAGGCCCATCCGAAGGCGCCACGGACCATGAGCTAACGAAGACGCTTCCTGAAACTTTCATTAGCATGCTTTCTAAAATGGCACTCAGAAAAAAAGAAAGAGAACAATTCTTAGACATTCAATGGTGGTATCGATTTATGGATGAAAACTGCTGATTACAAAAGAAACTAAACACCAAATTTTGAAATTTCGAAGAAAAAAAATTGACAAAAAATCAAATAGAGAATTTCATTATTCACACTTAGAGCGATCTGGTTTTGTTCATATTATGATCTGGATAAAATATATTATAAAATCTACCAAAATCCAACTAGTATCATGAAATATCTTTGACTCAATTAAAGAGAGTTTTAATCATGTTTCACGTCTGATTAAGTTTTTCAATAACGCTTTACCAAGGTGGTTGTAATAATAATGTGTAATGAATTTAATTTCAGCTCAAATCAAGGTTGCGAATGTTACACTTTTTGAAACTTTGTCTTTATTAAGTGTTACAAGCTGAGCATTTTATAATTGTAACGAGTAGAGCAATGGATTGCTCTACCTCGCAAATTTCTGACTATTTTTTTCGAAAATAGCCGTGGAACATGTCAAAAAGAGGAAATAACAGTTGGCTGTTCTGGTCTTTAGCACTTTTCTACAAATCCCCCCCCCCCCACACACACACACACACAGTTCAAGTTTTTCATTTTCTCAGTTTACTTATGTCTTATTATGGCTGAATGCGTGATGTTGCAGAATAGGGTGATGATAAGGTATGAAGAACAAATGTGTTTCACAATAGTTAGATTGTTCACCATGCAAAATTTCATTGCATTATGACAACGGTTAGATAGTGTTTGAAAACTGCACTTCAAATGTGTGGGGGCGAGTCGGAAAGAGCCCGGCCTTTCCAAGAATAGAATTTAGTCAAGAGTTCTTTCTGTTAGTTAGCATAGTAGCTTTCAAGTTTTTAGCGTTTTTAATTGCTAGCGCTTTTTTCCCTACCTCCGCCCCCCCCGTCACCTTTCGAGTGGTCTGCGTTCTAAAAATACTAGACGTGTCAATATGGCTAAATGCGGAAATTTTTGATTTGAAACAGTTTTTCAAAATTGAATTTCAAATAAATTTTTGATCATCAAATTGGATGCAATTAAAAAAACAAAGACTGCCACCATCAATGTGAGACCCTGAATGTTTTGACTGCTTTTTATCATCTTTTGACAAACTTTAAAAAAAACTGTTTTGGGTTTGGAAATTTTAACGCCAAAATAAATTAAAAGACGATTAGTTCAGGGTCTACTAAAGTATTGGTGAAACGTAAGACCGAAAAACCTGCCTAAATACAATTTGAATCAATTTCTGAGCAGTAGTTGTCTGGCGCTTGCATGTTAAAAACACAAGATATCTGGCGCGAGAATTGTCTCAAATAGACCAAAATGGAAATTTTCGAGCCCCCCGCACAAGTTAACAAAAACATAGTAAATTACGAGGCCAAATTGTGCTCTGGATAGGCACGCAATTTGTTTTCTGTATTTTCCTGGATTCCGGAGACAAAGCTTGAAACATATTTTAAATTCGGCTTTATAATGATTGGGCAGGCGCAAAACTTGGTGTCTGTAAATCACTGCAATCCAGAGACAAATTTTCAAACTTGTTCCAAAATGTGAGTGGGTTCAGCGCTCATATATGTGTGACGTAATTTGTCTGAACATTAGTTTTTTTTGCGGATTCCGCAACGAACGATTATAACTAGTTGTTCCGGATTCTGCAAACACCAGCGACTTCCGCAATCTTGAGGATTCCGCTCACAGTTGCGGATTAAGCGACATCTTAATTTTACCATACACAAATATTGCGATTTTCTTGTTGATTCCACAAACTAATCCGGGTTCCGCTAAATTTGTAGCGGTTTCCGCCAATTTGATCGCAATTTCCGCAAAATCGCATGTTTTTCAGGGCAGTTTCGATCAATACGTGCTTAGGCTATTTGTTTGTGGATTTCAAATCAGCAAAGAAGGTGAAAAAATAGCAATGTTGCGGAATCTACAAAAAATCTGGGATCGGCTTGGTGCAAAATCCGCCTAAAATTTGAAATTTACACAGCTTGGCCACATAGTGTTTTTTAAAAGACATTTTTTTTGTTTTCTAAAATGACTAGCAAAATGTTTTCTAAAAGGACTAGGAAATTCTTTCAAAACAAACGCGATATACTTTAAACGTGGCACCGTAAGTTGCTCTGTGCAAGGTTCCGTGGAAATTCTAGAAAATTTTTGTCTGTTTTTTTGTTAAACTCTCATTCAAAAGCCAGTGGCGTCCTATCAGCCTGAATCTATTTATCACAGACAGAGAATTAGAAATGTGTACAACTTTTCCGAACCAGACTTTAAACCTACATAATTTGACTTTTGCGAGGCCGTATAACTATAAAATTGGAACGATTATAACTAGTTGTTCCGGATTCTGCAAACACCAGCGACTTCAATTGTTCACATTGATCGATTGTTTCGAAAGTTGGTATACGGACTAATAAAGCCATGGCAAACATATTTGTTCTTCATAATTAACCTTGTAAAACCACTCGTTACACCGTAAAATTGATGCTCGTGTGAGGTGGGGGGAAAAGGAAATAGAGCCAAAAATTTTGTCACTCCAAAAAAAAAATATTAGGGTAATAATTTTTCTTTCAATGACAAAATATCCAAACGTGGGGTGTCTTGTCACATTTTGAATCATCCGAACACAAAGTTTGAACACGAAAAAAATTTCTTAGAATTCTTTTTATGTTGATTGAAAGATTCCCGCGGTATGTGAAAAATGATTCTTCCAAATAAATTAAAGTAATGTGCTGATATTTTGGTGGCTAAGAAAACCTTAAATGTGCATCATAAAGCAATTTAGATGCGTATTTGAAGACAAAATGGGTAAGCAAAAGGAACTATGATCAATTATAATGGATTTTTTGTTCAAAACATTTGATTTAGAAATTGGGATGAAAAGTATAGATCATAATCAATTATATCGATTAAAATTGTATAAAAGAATAATGAATTATTAATTGATTATAAGCGATTATAGATAGTGTGCAAAAATGAATTATTAGAACTATTATTGATTATAAGCAATTATAGGCAGTGTGCAAAAAAAGAGATGATAATCGATTAGTAATTGATTAAAATCAACCTTACTCAATTTGAGTAATTCTCAACTTTTGTTTTTTTTTCTCAAATTAATCGAGTATTATCTCTTGAAACTGGATGCGGGCGGGCTCCTTCCCCTTTTGACTTCCTTCTGATATTCCTTAATGAAAGTAGTTTTTTACGTGGGGAGTGGTAAGCTGGAAAATGAGCCTTTTGGTGCTCTAGGACAGATTATATTAAAGACTTGTTCATGATTCAAAATAGAAAAAGAAACATAAAATTTAAGAATTTCCTAGAAAAAACTTTTCTTTTTGTTCCTTTATCGGTTAGCAATGGCTTTTTCACTATTCCCTAATTTTCCAAATTTCTATTTTATTATTGTTTGAGTGTTATTGTGGCTATATGCGTCATGTTAAAACGTAAAATTTGAAAAAGGAATCAGTTCACAATTATAGTTTGTTCACCATGCCAACATTCATGTAAAAAGAACAACGTTGAATTAATTTTTTCAAAGGTGGGGGTTACCGGAAAAGAATCCATTGAACTTGAAGTTAAAATGAATATAATGAGAATGGTTTCTGCCAGGTCGAGTTCTCCGTCGCCTCTTTGTTTTCGTCTACATGCCGAACACAGGCCCGACCGGTTTGCGCTGGGACTTCTACGACTACAAAGACCGAATACACCTACTCGAGTTCACGAGTGAAGTTGAGGACGAAAAAGAAAGCAAGTACGTCAGAAGTAGTTTAGCTGATGTGAGAGACGAAGAAACAAGAAAACAGCTTCAAGAGGTGCAGATCCGAGGCCCATCCGAAGGCGCCACGGACCATGAGCTAACGAAGACGCTTCCTGAAACTTTCATTAGCATGCTATCTAAAATGGCACTCAGAAAAAAAGAAAGAGAACAATTCTTAGACATTCAATGGTGGTATCGATTTATGGATGAAAACTGCTGATTACAAAAGAAACTAAACACCAAATTTTGAAATTTCGAAGAAAAAAAATTGACAAAAAATCAAATAGAGAATTTCATTATTCACACTTAGAGCGATCTGGTTTTGTTCATATTATGATCTGGATAAAATATATTATAAAATCTACCAAAATCCAACTAGTATCATGAAATATCTTTGACTCAATTAAAGAGAGTTTTAATCATGTTTCACGTCTGATTAAATTTTTCAATAACGCTTTACCAAGGTGGTTGTAATAATAATGTGTAATGAATTTAATTTCAGCTCAAATCAAGGTTGCGAATGTTACACTTTTTGAAACTTTGTCTTTATTAAGTGTTACAAGCTGAGCATTTTATAATTGTAACGAGTAGAGCAATGGATTGCTCTACCTCGCAAATTTCTGACTATTTTTTTTCGAAAATAGCCGTGGAACATGTCAAAAAGAGGAAATAACAGTTGGCTGTTCTGGTCTTTAGCACTTTTCTACCCCTCCCCCCCTCCCCCCCATCCCACACACACACACACGCACACACAGTTCAAGTTTTCCATTTTCTCAGTTTACTTACGTCTTATTATGGCTGAATGCGTGATGTTGCAGAATAGGGTGATGATAAGGTATGAAGAACAAATGTGTTTCACAATAGTTAGATTGTTCACCATGCAAAATTTCATTGCATTATGACAACGGTTAGATAGTGTTTGAAAACTGCACTTCAAATGTGTGGGGGCGAGTCGGAAAGAGCCCGGCCTTTCCAAGAATAGAATTTAGTCAAGAGTTCTTTCTGTTAGTTAGCATAGTAGCTTTCAAGTTTTTAGTGTTTTTAATTGCTAGCGCTTTTTTCCCTACCTCCGCCCCCCCGTCACCTTTCGAGTGGTCTGCGTTCTAAAAATACTAGACGTGTCAATATGGCTAAATGCGGAAATTTTTGATTTGAAACAGTTTTTCAAAATTGAATTTCAAATAAATTTTTGATCATCAAATTGGATGCAATTAAAAAAAACAAAGACTGCCACCATCAATGTGAGACCCTGAATGTTTTGACTGCTTTTTATCATCTTTTGACAAACTTTAAAAAAAACTGTTTTGGGTTTGGAAATTTTAACGCCAAAATAAATTAAAAGACGATTAGTTCAGGGTCTACTAAAGTATTGGTGAAACGTAAGACCGAAAAACCTGCCTAAATACAATTTGAATCAATTTCTGAGCAGTAGTTGTCTGGCGCTTGCATGTTAAAAACACAAGATATCTGGCGCGAGAATTGTCTCAAATAGACCA